GTGACGTCATAGTGACGTCACCCCTCCCCCTGTGACGTCAGAGCCACGCCCCCGCGTGACGTCATAGTGACGTCACCCCTCCCCCTGTGACGTCATACCCCCTCCCCTCCGTATAACGTCACCCTTCCCCCTGTGACGTCATACCCCGCACCCCCCTCGGAGCTCCCGGCTTAGAACCGGCTTAGTTACACTACTAGAATACTCTAGAAAATCTAGCAGCTTCGTCGAGTGATCAAATTAATGATGCCAACTCTTTAACTCAAGGTATAAAACATTTATAAGCAGTTGTTCAAAATATAGCTGGAAAATTAAAGGCTAGAGGAATTACTATGGATATTATTATAGAAAGAATTGGAAAAAGTCTCAGTTTTGAAAAAACGGATTCCTGTGAGTATAACTTTTTGAATTTTAAATCATAGTTTTTGTATTTGTTTTTAAGTTTCTGAACAAATTTTGGATTCATTAGGATATAATATTTGAATATAATATTTAGTATAATATTTGACTATATGATTTTTCAGGTGCTGAATCACCAGATGAGATTGGTCAGTTTGATACTGAAGAAACAGAAAATGAAATAAACATTGACAATGCTATTTTTGGATGAGGCAATTATGAGAAGACGGCGAAGTCACAACGACAGTGATGGCAGCGAGGATCGTGGGTGTGATAGGCGTGTATTAAAGCTCTTTCTATAACGGAAAGAATACTTTTATTTTACACTATGTACAGATTATGTTTTTGGTTTTTATAAGAAGGGGCCCTGAAAAGGGCCGTTTGATGTCGGCCCTGGAAAGAGACTTTTTTCAAGCCTTTTCTTTCCAGAAGATTCGGGGCTTGGTTTTGGTTAGCCGCCAGTCGGTGCCCTGGAACCGCTGAGGTGATATCGACGAGGATCCGCTGTCGATTGTCTGAACGGCTGCTTCCGTTGAAGCCGGGCGTGTGTCCTCCGCCTGGCAGGCCCGTTCTGCGGTGGAGGGGTTTTGTTCCTCGCCTTCTGACCCTCTGTCGAGCCCTGGTCTGAGTGCCGCAGTCGACTCTATCGGCCTGCGTCTGCGTGGAGACACTTCGCTACCGGGGAGTATAAGATGGTGTCGGCGGTCGGTCCCAGGCGATCGGTCTCCTTGGAGGTGAAGTCCGTGGTGGAGGAAGGTCGATCGGAATAAAGCGCCAAGGTAGAAATTGTTCTACCCTCGAAAGTTTTTCTGACCCGGGTGTTCGGGGTCGCTCGGCGGTCTTGCTTTGCGGCGGAATGCTTTTTTGCTTTTTCTCCACTGGAGAAAAAGTGATCTCTGGGAGATCTGTGCTTGCTCCAACTAGATAGCGAGCTGATGGCGCTCTAGCTATCTGGTGAGCTGGATACCGAAGGGCCGCCGACGGCCGTCTTATCTAACCGTCGGGGCCAATGTTGCTTGCGGGCGAACTAGCGCCGCGGTGCGCCGTGTAGCGGCGCGCCGGCGGGCCGCCGGCCCAAGCTTAAGGCCGTCTCACCGCTGCACGGCGTGTTCATAAAGTGGTGTGCACCACACTATTCAAATAGATAAACTTGATGGATTGTTTGAGATTGGTGAGTTTAATTATAAAATAGAAAATACTCGTGAAATAAGCATTGACAATGCTATTCCAATAGACAAACTTGATGGTTCGTACAACAAGAAGATTACTTTAGATACGTAATAAATCACAAATTTTCTAATAAAAGAATTGAATATTTGATGATTTTCAGATAGTTCAATATCAGACGTTTTTGTTATTAAGCTACTTTCTTCAAATAAATCCAATCTTGAATCCGTTAATTGCTCGTGAAAGATTCAAAGTAATTAAAAAGGCCGATACGAGCAGTACATACAGGATGATCGTGTATAAAATAGAATTCTTTATTCAATAAACAAACGTCAAGTTAGTACACTAACTTGAGTACACAGTTTTGTATTTCACTCGATTGACATCACTTGATTGTATTGTGGTGATGTTGTGAATTATTAGTTTGTTTTAATTTAATGTAACACATTACACTGAAGAAGGTCCAAACTTGTGGATCGAAACGTTTGTTTATTGAATAAAAAATTCTATTTTATACACGATCATCCGGTATGTACTGCTCGTATCGGCCTTTTTAATTACCTTTAATCCGTTCCTTCTCCAACAACAATACTTGGTATATTACTTTATTTTTCACAAGTCTTCTTACTATCATTAATATTTATTAAATTTCTCAAAATGTCTCTTACATGAATCCACATTTTATTTAATGTATATATTTTTTTTTATTTTTTGATGTCTTTTAGACAAAAACGTTAATCCTGATGGTACTTCTTCTTCAAACAGTCCTTCTGATCCTACAAATAGTTCAATGACTGTTACTGACAAACAGAGAATTCACACTCAACATATTAAACCTGAGAAGGTTGACATTCTCAATACAGTTTTCAAAAAACATATTTATTATCCAGCTCTATAGAAAAGCAAACAACAAAAGACACCAAAAGTTAAGCCTTCGAGTGCTATCTCATTACAATCGTGGCGTGATTTTTACGAAAAAAAAATGTAGAAAAAAAATATTGAATTGCGAAAACGCCAAAAACAAGAGAAAAAGTTAAGGAAATAAGCCGAGAATTTACAGAAAATTAAAATTAAGAAAGAGAAAGTAGAAGAATGGGAAGAGAGTATAGAAAGTAAGAAACAAAAGTTGTACAAACCGAAAACAAAAAAATAATTAAATGTATCAAAGACCACTCTAATAAAAAAAAATAGAATAAATAAATTAAAAGCATAAATAGCCAAAGAAATTGAATAATTTATAATTTATCTAATTATCTTAATCTTATTCTTTACAAAACTGATAGCTTTAACTGAATACAATAAAGATTGTATTATATATTTATTAATATTTATTAATTATGTACTGAATAATATTATTAATAAATTGTAATTAACACAAAACTTGTTATTTATCATTTCTTTATCAAATTTCACGTAATCTGTATAGTTTTCATATTTCTTGAATTATTCAGCATTAAAGTAATGATGCAGAAAAGATGGCCGAGTATTGGTTATTAGCTAGGTCGACTTCTGCCTAAACACGGTCGACCACTGATGATTTAGCTCGTTTTTTGTTCTAATGACAATTAAAAATTTTGTCTGTGTTCTAACAAAAAACATCTAAATTTTATCGCGAAAACTAATCTTCTTGACAAGTTTTGATGCGGTTTCAACTATCATGACGTGATCTATTTCTATATATCAAAATGAATCATTCGTGTAATACGTTAAGTGATCGATACTAGTGCCTCCACCCTATAATAAAAAAGTTTATTTAAAAAATTTGTTTATATGTCGTTTTGTAAATGAGTGAGAGGTTTGGGAACAGCTTTCTTGAAAAAAATAAAAGAGACTAACACGGTACGCTTATTCGATACGAACTTAGATATATTGTGAATATATAGAAGAAAATACATTACATTTGTTTATTGTTTTGTTTTACAAGTACAGTATTGAATATAGTGTTCGGAAAAGCGGGTTTGTATATTGTTGGATTTTGTACAAAATATAGATAGATAGATACTTTTATTGATTCCCATCTTGGTTACAATCTTTTTACAATCCTTATTTACAGTTTTAGGTTTCTTACAACTATTTCTTACCATTATTTTACGAGACCTTACAATTATCTTGCTTACAACTAACTTAACCTATACCTTAATTTATCCTATCCTATACTATTTCTATATACACACACAATTCTATCCTAACTAAATCGCCCTACCATTGGACCTCCGCTTCCGACGCTTCTTTCCCACCTCTTACAACCTTTTCTAATCCACGTACATTCCCACATTCATCCACTTCCATTCTCCCTTACCCTCTCGCTCTCCTCCCTTCCATACATCTCCATTCCACTTTTCCCACTCATACATCCATATTCTCACTTCTACATTCTCCCTTCCCTTCCTCATCTCCTTTCTCCCTACACTCTAATCTTCTCCATTCCTCCAGTTTCTTCAACCATTCTTCCCCCTCTCCTTCTTCTCCTAGTATCACTTTCACTATATCATCCCAGCTTCTATCCACACCCCATTCTGTACATTCATTCTACACATGCTTCCAATTTTCCTCCTCCACTCCACACATCCGACACTTTCTCTCTTCCTCCTCCTTCCAATACTTTCCTCCTCTCATCTCATTCCCTAACTTGTACCTCGCTATTCTCTGCCACCTCTCCTCCCCCCTCCCTTTTTCAAATATCCCGGAATTCCTTTCCCTTTTATTCTTAGGTACCATCTATTATATTTCGAATCTTTTATCCTTTCCCATCTCTCACTTCTCTGCATCTCCTTCTCTTTTTCCCTTAACTTCGCTATCCTCTTCTCCCCATGAATTCCTTCTTCATTATCCGGCTCTAACACTATCTCTCTTCTCCTAAGAAACTCCACTCTCTCCCTTTCCCATTCCGACAGCTCCTCACTCCTCTCTGTTCTATTTCTTATTTCTTCCCAACATCTTCTCACAATTAACCCTCCTTCTCTTCTCCTAACCCTTTCTTTATATCGTATTGCCCTCATTCCTGCTCTTCCTCTTAATAAGTCCCTTTGCAATTCCTCTCTTATCATGTAACCCGGAGTCTCCCATTCCACATTTAATAACCACCTTAAATATCTTTCTTGTAAGCTTTCTATCTTTCTCCACTCTTCCCACCCCCAAATCTCTACTCCATAACTCACCACCGACCATATCAACGTATCGAAAAGCCAAACTCTTCTTCCCCAATCTCTGCCAAACCTCCTCTTTCCGATTCCCCACACCTGCCCCATCACCGCTGCCCCTTTTTTCACTCTATCCTTAATCTGCTCATCCAGTCTTCCGTTCCTCTGGAATATAAATCCTAAATACTTAAACTTCTTTACTTCCTCTATTTTCTCCCCTCTCCAATACCACTCCGTTTTCTTATCTCTTCCTCCTCCTTTTCTAAATCTCAGTACTTTAGATTTCTCTGCATTCAACTCCAATCCCTTCTCTTTTATATACTTTTCAAACCTCTTCATTAAGTTTCTCATCCCTTCTTCCTCTTCCGCTAGTAGCACAATATCGTCCGCATACGCTAATGAGTAGATCTTTTCTCCCTTTATCTTTACCCCACCCCAACTCCCTTTTTTCACCTTCTCTTCCAGATCCACCAGTAATAGATTAAACAGATCAGGGCTCAACGGACAACCCTGCCTCACTCCCCTACCTACCCAGAATTTCTTCCCCACCTTCTCTCCTTTTCTCACTCTAATTCTCGTTTCCTTATATAATTCCATACACTTTTCCACTAACTCCTTCCTTACCCCTCTCTCGTTCATTGTCCTCGTCAACACTCCCTTGTCCACCATATCAAACGCTGACCTCAAATCCACAAAGAAAGCCATTAGCTTCCCTCCTTTCTTACTTAAGTTCTTATTTACCAAGTAATTTAACACATAAATATTGTCTATTGCTCCCCTCCCTTTTCTAAAGCCCGCCTGATTATTCCCCATCAAACCTTTCTTTTCTACTTCCATCCTCAATCTTTCAGCCAGAACTCCCGCATACACCTTATACAAGGTCGATGTTACCGTCACTCCTCTGTACTCTTCCACTTTATTTCCTTCTCCTTTTTTAAACACTGGTACTATTATCCTTTCGTCTCAGTCTTTTATCCACCCTTCACCTCTCCATATCCTCACACACATTTTATGTATCCATTCCTTCAGTCTTACCCCTCCATACTTCCACACCTCAGCAGGAATTCCATCTCCTCCCACCGCCTTTCCATTCTTCATATTCTTTATCACCTTCTCTATTTCCTTCCATCGTATCTCATTCTCGTCACCTCTCCCTCATTCCCTTCTATTTCCCATCATTACCTTCCACTCTACTCCTCCAAATTGCCTCTTAAAATACTATTTCCATTCTTTCAGTTCTATCTCCGCTCCCTTCCTCCTTCTTCCCCTTCTCTCTCTATTCACAATCTCTCACACTTGCCCTTCTGTCTTTGCTCTCTTTACCTTCTCTTCCCATCTCTCATTCTCTTCTTTCTTCTTCTTTTCACATAACTCTCTATACTCCTTTTTCTCTCTTTTAAAGCCTTCTTTCCCCTCTCCACTTATCCTCCACTTCTTTAATTCTCTCCTTACCCTTTTCTTCTTTTCCCTACATTCCTCATCCCACCATCTTTTTCCATTTTTCTTTTCTTCTCCATCAATTCCTTTGAACACCCTACCTATCAGCTTTTTCATCTCCTCCCACTCTTCCTCTACTTTTTTCTCCCTTTCTTCCCTTTTTTCCATCTCTTCTTCCAATTGTTGACTTCCTTCTTCCGTCCATCTTATCCTTTTCATCTTTTTTCCTTCATTCTCATTCCTTGCTCTTTTTCTCTTACTTCCTTTTATTCTCACCCACACCACCACCGGCTGATGGTCTGAGTCCACTTTGTCTTCTACTACCATCCTCTCCACTTCATCCTTTAACCATGCTTCTCCTATAACATAATCTATCACCGACTCTCCCCTCCCTCCAGTATATGTCCACTCTCCCTCTTCGTCACCTCTCGTATCTCCATTCCATATAGTCCATCCCATTTCCTCTATTTTATTCACCAATTTCCTCCCCTCTGCATTTAACTTCTTGTCTTTTGATTTTCTTCTCGTACCTTCCCCTCTTTCTTCTTCCTCCACTATTTCACCTCCTTCCTCCCCCGTTCTGGCATTAAAGTCCCCACCTAATATTGTTCTTACATCCTTTTCTTTCTTTTCCAATATCTCTCTCAACTCATCCAATAATCTCTCCACTCCTTCATTGACATACACTCCTATCACCTTCCACCATCCATCCCCTATTTTAATATTTCTAACCATAATCCCCTCTTGTTCCTTTCAGTTTTCTTTCTCCCTCCACTCAACCTCCTTTTTCACCCCCATCATCATACCCCCTTTTGCTCTACCTTTTCTATTCCTCTTTCTCGCCCATTGTACCTTCCAAATAAATTCTTTCGGCAGTTTACTTCTCACCTTATCCCACCCCTTCTGATCCACCCACGTTTCCATTAAAATCATCACATCCCACTCTCTCAGCCCTTCCCAAAATTCCTTGTTTTTATTACTCAAGCCTGCTACATTCCAAAATGCTATCTTCCTTATTTCATCTTTTTTTCCTCTATCTTCCTTCCCTCTCTCCCTCACGGCCTTCTCTCTTTTCCCCTTTTCCTTCCTCTCTATTTTATTATCTCCCCCCCCTTTCTCCCGTCCCGTTCCCCCAAACGTCTCTCCGTTCCCCCGAACGTCTCTCCGTTCCCCTTTGTCTCCCCATCTTTATACTTCTCCACATTTCTAACTCTCCTTTCTCCTCATTCCAACTCCACCAGTCACTTTCCATTCTTATTTTATTTCCCTCTATTCATACATTCTTTCCTTTCTGTCTTTCCTCTACCGCTATTTTTCCCAATTTCCTTCTTATTTCCCTTTCTTTCCACGTCCAATCTTCATCAATCCATATCTTCATTCCTTTTAGGGCCTTCTTCTTTTTCCAATTTAACTTCTTGTTCTCCTCCCTTCCTAGTTTTACCCATATCATGTCCCCTCTCTCCCCTTTCCCTATACTCAGTCTCCTCATCTCCTCACAGCTTACCTCTACTCTAATTTTCTTCCATATTTCTTCTACTCCCCATCTCCAGTCACCCTTCTCCTTCTGCACTCTTTTGATCACTATATTTCTTCTTCTTCTCTCCTCCCTATCCTTCCACTCCCAATTCCTCTCAATCTGTTTCACTCTACATTCCAATTTCTCCTCTCTCTCTCCCCCTTCCACACTTCCCCCCACCTCCACACCTTCTATTATTTCTCTCTCCCCATCTTTTACTATCTCCTCCAGCATCCTTACTTTCTCCAAAAATCCCTTCCTTTCTTCTCTTAACCTCTCTTCTCTTCTTTTCCACTCTTCTATTTCTCTTTCCATTTTCTCCAATCTCTCTGTATACTTCTCCAAACTTTTCTTCACTGCTCTTAATTCTTTCCACATATTCATATCTTCTCCATCCTCACCCTTACCTTCCTCCTTCTCCTTCTCTTCCCCCCTATATATTATCTTTTCTTTTATTTTCTGCGGTGATCTCTGCACTTTCTTGCTACTCCTAAACACCCTCTCCTCCTCCTCTACCTCTCCTTTTTCTTCATCTTCCTCTTCCCCCTCTCTCTTTCTCTTCAACCACTTTTCTAATACCATACTTTCACTCACCGATCTTTCCCTTCTACACCCTTCCATCTCTTTCCACATTTCTACCTTACTTTTCCTTTTATCCACTCCTTCCGCCATTCCACTTATCTCAATCTCAAAACTCCCTAGCGTTACCTTCCCTAAACCGAACACACCTCGCTACTCCCTCTGCACTCACTACACCTTTTGCTCTTCACGCTTTACACGCTCCTTACGCTCTTGTAAACACCTCTTCCTAAACCTAACCCCTCTCAACTCTCTTAATTCCCCTCTATACCTTTCACTCCACTCATACACCCTCCACCTCACTCTCACACACCCCGCTCCTCTCTGCTCTTCTACTCGACCACTCCACTCCACCTCTTCTCACTCTGACACCACCAAAATCACTTTCTAATTGCTACGCTTTTTCGTTCTGATCTATTGCTTACGCTATCGGAAACGGAAGTCTTGTACAAAATATTTTATGAAATAAACATACAATTAATTTTTCGGTGGCGTCGAAATTTCCGCAAAACAATTGTAAAAATTGGGGAAGGCTATACTCGTGAGCCATAAAATAGAGAAACACACAGCACTAATGCCCGCACGTTTGCGAGAAATACACAGTTTGTCCGGAAAGTTCCCGGACTGATTTTTTCTAGCGCGGGTAAGCGGCGCTATCGAGCGGTCAAC